TATTGATAGTTTGATGATGCTGAGATTTCTGAATGCTAGCAAAAGTTTATTTCATTTTTTACAACTGGTTTAGGCAGCTGAGGATGTTTCGTTTTTCGTTGTTGGAATGTTTCTCTTCTGTGGTTTTGTTATCGACGCTGTCTGGTTCAGCAAGGGGCAGTACGAGCCTCACAGTCATCCCTTTCACAGGAACATCACGCAGGTGTCCAAATCCCTAACCTCTTGCTTTGGAAGGCAAGTATGGGCCAAAGACTTGGCAACGATTCGGACAAAGTGGAAGATCTTCAACATACTCGAAGCAGCTATGACGGAAGGCCGTCATTACTCTCCCCTTGATTTAGGGGCCGTGAGTTCAGTTACCCCTCGAATTCTATCTCGCCTGGCGCGTTAGTACGGTATGCCTTCCTAGCACATATACTTCCATGTAACTTTTTCCTGGGCGAGTTGGTTCAGCAAACCTGTGTACATAGATGCGATGCAGCAATAGTCGCATTCATGTAAACATCAATAGTATGGAAAGTTGGGCGAGTTGGTTTGAGAACGTTCTTGGAAACGTTTCGGCACGTACAAATTAGACAAAAAAAGCACCTGTTTGTCTTCTTGCCTTTCATTTTTTCATCTATTGTGTGCGCACTGAAATGTTTCCAAGAATATCATGTAAACCAGGTTATGGCAGAGTTTTAGTGCCGGGGACCCCTAGCTATTTTAGCCCCGCATACTTTTGTGCTTTTCCCACGTTTCTGCTGTTCAGCAGCTGCACCCAAACAGAGTGACAACTCTCTGCTAAGCTTCATGGTGACAGAGGAAGGGAAAAACTAAAGAAGGAAAGGCAGGATCGACTGCTAAATGGTATAAATACTTTGTTTTTCTGGTCTGTGGTTGATGCTGTTCGTTAAGCTAATGTAAAGCCCCTCCACATATTTTCTGCCCTCAAGGTTAAGTAGCACCAACTCGTTCTCTCCCTCTTTCTTTACACCAGTCCTCCGACCACCGGAAGCCGAGGTGCTGCCATGATGTTTCTGCTGCCTCTCTGGTTCATGGACCCACGTCATATTCCACGCACCCCTGACTAGGGTGAAGTGAAGAAAGCTCACACCAGCTGACTCTCCCACCCTGCCTCATTCATGCTGTTCCACCGATCGGCTGTCGAGCCTGTTGGCAGCAGCGAGGTGGCATTCCTTGCGAGCTTAGGATGAAACTCAAGACAACACTTGTGATAAGAAGAAGAAAATGAAAATATTTACTTTCTAGCGTGTACAGAAACAAGATAGAAGGAAAAGGTGGAAGGAGGTGGCTTGATAACTTCCTCTCTGAAGCTCTGGAACCGGAAATAGACGGCGCAGAACAATGCTTGGCGCTACTTAAAAGAAATGCGATGGGGGAGGCGGGGGCTTTACCTCACCCAGGTGAAAATATCTGAAGCGAAAAAGCACCATGTCGCTAGCAAAGAACCCATGCATAGCTCATGCAAGGTCAAAGAAAGTTGTCTTGAGAGAAAATTTCGGTTTACAATTGGAAGAATGCCAGGGGCAGAATTTGCAGGGTAAAAGGCTCTCACAGGTGAATGGCTTGAATTTGCCCTTTTTGGTGCCTGGCTACTTGCATTCACACAGAAGAAAGATCAGTAGAAATGTTTTTCGACTGTTTTTTTTTTTTTTTGACATCGTGATTGAAAAGACCATTCTGGAAAGTCTCTGGTCACCGATGTCCGTAGAAGAATAAAAAATTCTCTTCGGTGGAGTGAGCCAGGGTGGGAGCAGGGAAACTGCCCTTTCGCATCTCCTGCCGATTCCCATGAAACTGGCCCATGCATGTTCATTTTAGGCAGCTTGTCTTTTGGTCACAGAAAGGCCAAGTGGCATCAATGCACCTGCTACAATCCACTTCCATGAAAAGCATGTCCATACAGTTTTCATGGCAGATTCCACGGCTTTCTTCAAGCTTTGTGTAGAAATGGCTCAACCTTCACCACAGGGAGTCGGCGTGTGTTAAGAAATTTCTACCTGCGATTTCCACAGACAAAACCAATTCCGCTTGCACATTCTTCGTCCATGCTTGGCAGCTTAACAGCTGTCCAGCAGTGCATCATAAGAATTCGTTAGGATGTTCTATGGGACAATTGCACCCATAAAATAAAAAATTAATGACTAATGTCACACCATTCATTACCAAAAAATGGTAACTTCAGTACATTACCCATGACAGTTCCCAGATAGTATTCAGTACGTTACTATGTTACCGATAAAGGTAATGGATTACTTGTAAGGGTGTTACATGTGACGCATTACTGCCAACACTGGTTATGCTACTGTTGGCCACAATATCTATTCAGCTTGAAGGAATTCTAGTTAGGTCAGGATTTCTATTAGCAGAGGCTCACCAGGCCTTGTCAAGCTAAATTCAGTGGCAATGTATTGGCCGATGTCCTCAGCTATGAATTCATGGCTGATAGCTTGTTTCAACAGTAGCCCGTCATAACTGCAGCTAAATATATGTCATTCCTGTTTTATGAGATTACAGAACTGTATCTTTGAATATTAATTCTGTGCATCATGCCTATAGAAGAGCACGTAAATGATGGGAACACACTACTCTCTATGATTACTGAGTAAAATCAAGGAGGCTGTTGCCCCTTCATATGGCCATGGCACTGTCCCGTTGGCTTTCATGGCCTTATCCGATTCTTCAGTGCTGCCACATTCGTGACTGCAGCAAATGCAACACATAACATGAAATAAAAAGCCAGGAAAATAAAATGTAAACAAGTATGTGCTCATCAAGTGAAAAAAAAAAGGGCATTACGTATCTTACAGTATGACTTCATTTCTCATGACACTGTCATGGGTTCTAACAAAAATGTTATAAGCTTAATACGTAATATCCTTAAACAGGAGAAACTCCATAGTTAAGGATTTTTCTGAATAAGCCCTAAAGGAATGCGGGTGCACCCTGGGGCACCCTTGCGTGCTGGCTGCGGCAGGACAAGACAGACAGGATGCCAGTATGCGAGACTAAGCTTTAAAAAAAATTTTGTCATTGAAAGCTATATCTCAGAGGTACGAAAATTGTGTGGACGTGCAAATCAAGAGACTAAGTACGAAGAAAATAAAAGTATGAGAGGAAGAGGGAGGTTTGTTGAACTGAAGCCAACGCTTTAGCAAGTGAACTGGTCTTTGTCGAGGCAGGAACCGCCTTGTTGGAGACAAGTCAGTTGCCGAGTGAATGCTCAGCGACTAAAGTAAACTTGGTAATTCAGATTTGATCAAATTCAACTCAGTCTGCTTAGCTGCCACTGTAGGCTCTGGCTGTGTTGCCATTACCAGCTGTTTTGATGCACTGTAGTTGTCTTTTTATCGTGTATCGTAAAGGATGCTTCTAGCCAAGTGGACATTAAAAAAGCAGTTTTGTTTCAAGTTTATGCTAGTGCCCTGCCTTTTTTTCATGACTTAAGGTGACGTATCATGAAGTTCAATATGCTTTGCTGTCTACAGTTTTGATTATGATCTTGTGTTATCACCAGATATTCAATTTTATTTCTTGTTTTAATATTTGATCATTTATTATTATGCAAACAGTACTGGCATGAAAACACAAATACAAACAAGATAAACCCTGGGGCAAGCTTGCCTGATGCAAGATAATTAGCTATGCAATCTCTTAGACAAACCCATGCAGTAAACTTGCTGGCTGCTGCTGATGACAGTCAAGGTTGTGGCATCATGTCATGGCTATGAACACTGTGCTCTAGGGCCATGCGCACAACTAGTATACACAGGAAATAATATATACTATGTGGCTTAATAGTTTAGGTATGTTATATGTACACTTCTTTGTGTATACTACTGTGTGCACACCATGCGAAAAATTCTGGTAGGTGATCTCAGGAGTCTATTTTTCACTAGGCCTGCTAACGCAAATTCAGTACTTGTAAACGATATCGATGTGACATAACTTTCGAGCGCTCACCGCCTGCTAATATACAGCTGATGTACACCTTGCATCTTGCAGCGCCAAGTGTTGGCTGAAAGAGCAGCTACATGCTCTGTGGAAAAGTGGCAATGAGATTAAATGTCAAGTGCGTTTTCAGAGCCAGTTTTAAAAATATTTTTCTTCTTGAAAGGAAAAATGATTTGATAAGGCTCTTCATTCCTGGTCAATGATTCACTCTATCAAATGCTACATAAAAAGGATTTCTATTTGAACAGTGTCAGTATGAGAAATATGGTCATAAATGCATTAAACTGCATATTTTATACATGTGTATGTACTCAGGGAGATTTGAAGCATATTTTGACCCTACTGTTTTTGTATGAAAATAGACTTTCCTGACAATCATAAAAATAATAAAAAGTCAGAAAAAATGCGAGCTTGTTCAATAAAATTTTTGAAACTCTGGAGATTTTTTTGTTTTTGATAATATAACTGGCAAGAAATCAAAAATGCTTTAGAATTTTATTGTTCGTTATCTGAACAAAACCTCTGTAGTGGCACAAGTGCACTTTTAACGTTAAAGGATAGAAAGACAAATTTAAAAAAATTTCCTATTTTGCACAGTTTGATAAAGGAGAGTCAAATTCAATAGTGCACCAGCAGGCTTCAAAAACTGTTTTATACAGAATTTTTTTGCCAGAATGCTCCATGTGGTTCAGTAAAAAGCCACAAATCGCATGCAAGATCTGCAATGTCCTAGTCACACGCTTGGCACGGAATGACTCGGAAGAAAGCAAAGCTAGCAAAAAAAAAAAAAAAAAAATGGCAACTTACGAAAATTTTTAGTCTACATTTGTGGACTTCACTGAATTGTACTACTATGAGCAAGCACCACCATAGCAGTTTTGTTTACACCTACTGTTGCTTTTATATTGTACATTATTAGGAGGTGTCACTGAGATGATAGATAGCTTGTTCAATTATAGTTGGGAGCCAAATAATGTGTAACATAAAGAACTGCTCCAAGAAATAGCCACGCACCAGTTAAAGGTATCCCTTCTCTTTACTAGGTCACATCACGGCTGCAAAACTGGAACAACTTTTAGGCTCCATCCAATCATCATATCAAGTGCAAGCGTTTAAGTAAGTTTATATATTTACTCATTTATTCTTGATTTCCCTTAAGTGTATGGTTGTTGACCCCACAGTTGCCACACAGAGGAAACCTGCCAGAGTATAGCATGTTTCTTGGTGCTGAGTGTTTGATTTCTAAGTTGCTGTCTAATCATTGTTGCCAGACAACTTGGATTGCCTCTCTTAGTTAACTGACTGAACACAAGGTTACACAGGGGCACAGCCAAGATTTCATTTCATTCCTAAATAGGAGGGGAAGGGGCCCTCCATTTTTGACGCCCACAGGGCTGTCGGGAAATGCCGATCTTGTTTGGAAAACACCAATATTACCCTGGAGTGTGCTTTCAAGGGTGAACATAGTGTACTTGATGTACAGTAGACTCGCGATAGTTCAAACTCTGATAATTCATACTTTTGGTTAATTCAAACGTATTGAATTTTTTGGTTGGCCCTCTATTTCAATGTATTTAAAAGCCTTTTGAATTCAAACTGCATCATTCGGTTAATTCATGCTTTTTGCAGGTTTATGCCAGAAAATATCTGCTGTTTTCCCACTACTATTTAAAAATTTGTTTGTTTATATGTATAATTCTAACAGTCTAAAAATGAAATATAAGCACCTGAGGCCTTCAAGGAGAAAGGTTTTGCAAATAAACAAATGTTTGAAACGAAGCACACGCGTGTTAAACCGTGATGCTTCTCAAGTGGTATAGAAAGCTTTGTGCTGAAGGCAAATACCTAGAGCGATGAAGCAGTTGGCAGTTCACAATTTCTTTAAAAGGTCTGATCAGCAGTAAATGGCCAATAAACTTGTGGACTATACACTTCTGCTTTCTGTTTACTGCATGCAGTTAGGGCTTAAAAACACCTAAATATTTTAAATGTGTTAAAATCAATGTAATGTACAACAACCTCGGAAGAGAGCAGCACTTCGAGATAGGTAATAGTGCGCTTCAAGTTGTAAAAGACCGTGTCCACTTAGAGCAGATAATAACCGCGGAGCGGAACCACGAGATTGAAGTAACTTGAAGAATAAAAATGGCGTGGAGCACATTTGGCAAGCACTCTCAAATCATGACAGGTAGATTGCCACTATCCCTCAAAGAGGAAGGTATATAACAGCTGCATCTTGCCAGTAGTTAGCTATGGAGCAGAAACCTGGAGACTTACAAAGAGGGTTCAGCTTAAATTGAGGACGAGTGAGTGAGCAATGGAAAGAAAATGTTAGGTATAACCTTAAGAGACAAGAAGAGAGCAGAGTGGATTAGGGAACAAACGGGGGTTAAGGATATCATAGTTGAAATCAAGAAGAGGAAATGGACATGGGCCGGGAATGTAGCGCATAGACAGGATAACCGCTGGTTATTAAGGGTAACTAACTGGATTCCCAGAGAAGGCAAGCGGGTTAGGGGGAGACAGAAGGTTAAGTGGGCAGATGAGATTAAGAAGTTTGCGGGTATAAATTGGCAGCAGCAAGCACAGGACCGAGTTGACTGGCGGAACATGGGAGAGGCTTTTTGTCCTGCAGTGGATGCAGTCAGGCTGATGATGATGAAAATCAAGGCCTGATCATAATGTGTGGCATCATCTCACCAGGAGTCATCTATCTGAGAACTTGTGATAATTCAAGCTTCTTGATAATTCAAACTCTTTGAGTCCCTTTGAGTTTGAATCAAAGGGACTCAAAGAGGTCCCTTTGAGTTTGAATTAACGAGAGTCGACTGTATGTGTATATATCTCCAGATATGCTGGTGTGCCCCTGAACAGCCAGGCAGCATTTGAAATGGCAGCCAAAGACACAGTGCGACCTGCTGACAAGTCGCCTCCTCTTGTATACAACATTCGCTGTGTTGAACTGGATCTGCCTTACTTCACACTTGGTAAGAGAAGGTTTGCAGGTGGTTAAAAAAAAATGAGTAGTTTGTCTTGCTGTATTTCTACAGCTGCAGAGCTGGTCAAGACTGAGCATATTAAAGAACAATATTAATTTTAAATGCTTTACTGTAAATGTTTCCTTGTATTTTCCTATAGTTATTTGTCCAAATGTTATGAAGAAGAGCAGTTTTTAAACTAGTGCTACAAGGTCCGATTTGACGTAATAGAGTGGCTGTATTTTCTGTATGCCGGGGACAGTCAGTTTTGATATCACCATTATAATTCAATGATGAATACCATCTTTATTACGTGCAGCTTTTGTGATTTAAAAAAAGGCTATACCTCTAGTTTTCACGGACCACGACTTTAAAGTCGTGGTCTTTGAAAGAGGCATCACACTACTTTGCCGCTTGGGGAAGGGTGCTTTTCGAATCGCACTTCCTTCTCCCTGCGCCCTTATGACATGTGCTCATGTCGGTGATTCCCTGCTCGGCCATTGGGTGCAGGCCGATGATGTATCGCTGATGTCGTGTTACATTGTTAAAGTGGACGGAGTCAAGACTACAGACTATTCCTTCCTCGTCCCTATGGCAGACAAAGGTAGCGAAGCCGGGCGAAAATTTGAAACCAGCTGAAACTGATGTTTTGACCCCTGTAAATTCTTTATTATAGCACGTAATCACAAAATTCTTGCGACAGGGTGTTCACAAAGCAAAAGAAAAGTGTGCATATTTCTCTTCATAACAATTTTTGAACTTCGAGGTTGTTTACTGGCCTTTTAAAAAAGAAAATCTAGGGTACTAAAAAAAAACACTTTGTGGACTGGCTGACTGAAGAAAGTATCCTAGTGTTTCAAGTTAAAGGCACACGAAGAGAAAAATTTTACCTGTATAGGTAGATTGGGTTTCCACAATACCTAGATCAGATACCAGAAAAGGTGTAAGGAAGGAAAGACTAGTAGCAGCACTACCTTGATGTTGCCACCCCAGCACACCATGATATCATGGATTTTGAAGCTGTCCACTAAGCCCTGTGTAATTATGTATTGGTAAAAATGGATTGCAATGTGATCTAAAAAAGCAAAAGACTTCACACGAGAAGTTTCAGGAACCTTTATTGAGCCAACACGGCCTGAAATATGAAAACATGATTTTCATTTGCTCATGTGATAATGAACCGATAATGTCTTTGTTAATAACAGTAGAGATTTTGAAGAATAATGTGTAAGTCAAAACTGATTTAGTGTTTCTCTGTAGCATCAGTTTAATCATGCTACAGCTGAAATTCATTTGAAATCGATACCATAGCCTAAAAACAAAGTTTGCTACACGGAAACCCTTATCTAATAAAATTTATTTTATTAGATAAGTTAGATTGCAGCAAGTACCATTCCTGATAAGAATATAGGTTTCATAAATTTGTCTATGAATCTTGCATTCATGTTTAGAGCTATGCACAGGCCACATTTTCGAGCCCAGCGCTAAGGAGGTGCGAGCCCGCCCATCCCATCTGCCCTGACACGATAGCCTGGGGCTGGCCTGGTCCGACATTATGATGGTTTGCTGTAGAGAAAAGATATTGTTTTCCCATAATGTGGAATTTCACACTATACATATTAAAGTGAAACATAAACAGCATGACTGTCACTATAAACACAGATTACCAGCTCTCGTGCGAAATAACAAGCTGTCCAATGATTCAGGCTTCATTGAATTCTTTATGCATCTCATGTCTTGTCAATTAAGTTCCTTTCACTGCCCTCACTGGCAGCCAGATTTGTCAATGTCCGAAATAAGAAGGGGATGGCCTACTCAAGCCCAGCCCATGGTTTGGGCCCGGCTTGAGCTTTTGGGCTACCCGCAGCCCGTGCACACCTGTACATCATGTGGTGGAAGGTATATAATAGTGTGCCAGTCCTCAAATACATCTGAGTGCTAACATGTATTATTACAGTCGAACCTGGGTATATCGAACTCGTCAAAAACATTTATTAGTTCGATATATGGCATAATTCGATATAGGCCCAGTATAGGATTTGACACAAAGGCACATAATAAATTATAAGAAAAGTAGTTTTTTAATATGGCAGCTTACTTTCGACCCCTACTGTGGCACAAAATAGTCTCGAATTTTCTTCTGGGTCAACGACTTCACTGCCTGCGACAGCATGCATGCCTCCACATTGTCCAACGAGTCGGAGCAGCTGAGGCCGTAACCTTCCACATTCACGCAATAGCGCCGGACCAATGCAAGTGCATTAATCACCTCAGAGGATGTAGGCAATGGGTCATCGTCAATTTCCTTATTGCTGTCACTTTAGCTCGTGGTCGGCACGACGTCTGCAATGTAGGAGAGTCTGTCACCTGGCGTCGAGCGTAGGTGCGCGTTTCTTTCGCTCTGTTCTTTTTTCACTGATTTCGCCTATTTATTGAATTACATAAAATAACCAAGAGGCTATGGACGCTGATGAGAGCCGTGTGACTGCAGAGACCACGACCGCGGCAACGACGCAGATCCCGCGAGAAGGAGAGCTGGCGGCCGTTTTGGCTGCAATTACCCAAATTAATGTAAGGCTAGGCAATATGGATGCCCGACTCGAAGCTGTTGAGAGTCAGCGTCACATGCTCCCGGTCAAGTGCGACCGCCTAGCAACAAAAGTAGCCTCAACGTCAGTTTGGAACCAGTTCGGGTCTCTGAAAAAGAAAAAGGAGCGGCCGAAAGAATAAAGGACGCGATCGCGAAAAGGCGCGGTCGACTCAAGACGTCCGGAAAGAATGATGCAGAAGCTGAGTAAGAAGCATAACAAGACCGGGGAGGACACTACCGTGATTTACCAATGGAACTGCTGTGGCATTCGCTATAAAGAAGCGGAGCTACTGTTACACATTGACGGGCAAGAAAACAAGCCAGATATAATTGCTCTACAAGAAATGAATGGGAAACCAAGACTCCTGGGGTACGTCACATACACTGACCCCACGGAGAATGGAAGGGTGGTGCTCGTATGGAGCAACGTGGTGGCTACTCAGCACGTCATGGCACAGGGTGGATGTGAGCACACGCTGGTAGAAATTCATGCAAGAGAAATTGGCAGCTCGGGCAATCTATTCGTAATGAGTGTGTACTGCCGGCCGTCACAACGTCAGTATGAATTTGACCGCATCGTGAGACAGGCAAAGGCGTTGGCGGGAACTAGGCCACTCCTGATCCTCGGCGACTTTAACCCCCCCCACCAGAAGAGGCAACAGTGTCGCGAGGGACACTACGTCAGACCTGACGTGGTTATCGGGCACACTAGACGTCACCTGGGCAAAGGAAGACGAAGGCTTGGGGTCTGACCACAGCGTGATCGACATTACGATCAGAGGCTCCCGATACCGGGCTGTACTGGGGAAGGCACGTATCACGGATTGGGACAAGATGAAGAAGTTTACCCAAGAACAAGAAGAGGCATACGAGGAAGAATCGAAGCTATCTGAAAGAAAACAGACTTACACTGAATGGGCGAGGGACCAGAAAAAGGCCCTACAAAAATTTACCCAAGAAATCGCAACGACGTCGCAGACACCGTACGTGGATGCTAGACTAACCAATATGTGGGCGGCCCAAGACTCGCTAACGCGGCGGTGGAAGCGTCAGAGACGCAACAAAAGCTGGCCAAGTGCATAGCAGTCTTGAACAAACAAATCGTCGAGCACGCGGCCAAAGAAAATTGGCTGAAGACCTATGACGACCTACAGGGCAAGCTCTCGGCACGGAAGACGTGGTGCCTCTTGACACATCTGATCGACCCGCTGAGTAGCAAAACCGTGACCAATCGCAACCTTGCCAAAGTATTGAACATGTACAAGGGAGACGGCCGCAGACTAAAGACAGAGAAAGGCCAGTACCCGGTGCCCGAGAGGTACGAGGGACCCGATAACGAAAAGCTCGATCGGTCGTTTACCGTGACGGAAATGTGGACAGCGATAGACAAAAGCAACAAGAGAAGCGCACTCGGCAGGGACGCCATAACTTACAAACTGCTCGGTAACATGAGCGACGTAGCGGCCTCCTAGAGCACATCAAGGAAGCCTGGGAGAGCTCGCGGTTGCAAAAGGAATCGTAGGAAGTCGAGGGTCACTTTATTCCAAAGCCCGGGAAGGCCCTCACGATAGACAACATGCGGACCCGCTCCCTCACGTGCTGTGTGGGAAAGGTGATGAAGTGTATGGTCCTTCACCGGCTGCAGAAGCACGGAAATGTGGACAGGGATAGACGAAAGCAACAAGAGAAGCGCACCCGGCAGGGACGCCATAACTTACAAACTGCTCGGTAACATGAGCGACGCAGTGGCCCGCGGCCTCCTAGAGCATATCAACGAAGCCTGGGAGAGCTCGCGGTTGCCGAAGGAATTGAAGGAAGCCGAGGTCCACTTTATTCCAAAGCCCGGCACGGCCCTCACGATAGACAACATGCGGCCCATCTCTCTCACGTCCTGTGTGGGAAAGGTGATGGAGTGTATGGTCCTTCGTCCACTGCAGAAGCACCTTGAAGAAACAGATCAGATGCCGGAGACGATGTACGGCGTCAGGCAACATCTCAGCACCGAAGACGTGATGATCCAACTCCACGAGCTGGTCGTCAAGCAAGCAACGAAGCACGCACCACGCGGGATACTCGCCCTCGACCTGAAAGGAGCCTTTGACAACGTGTCGCACGCGAGCGTGTTGCAAAATTTGAACAAAACCAGGTGTGGCCGCAAGACATTCGGCTACATAAGCGACTTTCTGTCAAACTGAACAGCGACCATCAGGATAGGGGAGAAGAAATCGGACCCTGTCGAGCTTGGTGATCGAGGCACCACTCAGGGGTCGGTCCTGTTGCCCCTGCTCTTCAATCTGGTCCTTCTGCCCCTACCCGGTCTGCTCAAGCAAATCGAAGGTGTGGACCACGCGTTCTACGCCGATGACATCACGTTGTGGATGGCCCGAGCCGGGTCTGATACATGGGCAGAGGAAGCCTTGCAGCGGGCGGCGACGACCGTGCACAAGTATGCCAAGTCATGTGGACTGAGCTGCGCTCCCCAAAAATCGGAGCTGCTCATGATTCAACCAGGAAAACCTAAGAAAGAGCCGCCGCCTAACGTGACTATCACCATCGACGGAATAGCAATCAAACCAACACAGCAAATCAGGATTCTCGGTCTACTGCTTCAGAGTGATAGGAAGGCACAAGCCGCCGTCACAAAGATCAAGCCTACAATCGAACAGATTCTTGAGATGACTCGAAGGGTATCTAACAGAAACCGACGCCTGAAAGAGGACAATGTCATGCGCTTGGTACGTGCGTTCGTCGTGTCGCGGGTTACATACTGCGCTCGTATCTCCAGCTGACGAAGGCGAATTGCGACACCCTCGACACGATGCTTCAATAATTTTTATCAATTTTCTTACAATAATTCTTACTTTTCAATTCTTACATTTATCAATAATTCTTACTCCCATGATGTCAGCGTATCTTCACTAAAGGCATAACTTCAACTGCCCCTCCTCTCCCTCCGCCGCCGTATCGCCAGTCTTTCGTTATTTCATAAGTTTTTTCACAGCTCGATGCGCATGCCACCTTATTTTGTTCCCCCAGCGCACATCTCTCAACGAACTAATCATCCTCTTCAGGTCGCACGCCCACGTGCACGCACCGTTACTTTTTCAACATCATTTCTTCCTCGCACAGCAGTTGCCTGGAATGGCCTTTCAGGCGACATTCCTGCCATTACTTGTACTTCTACCTTCACAACCAGTATCACTAATCATCTTTCACTTTAGGACAAGCGATTGTTTTCTGCTCAATTTTTATGTACCCACCCCTTATGTAATGCCCCGCAAGGGGTCTTTAAGGAAATAAAATGAAATGAAATGAAAGGCAAAGAAGCAAGCATTGGGCGTGCCAATATACTCATCTACGCTAAGATTGCTAGACATTGGCGCCCACAACATGGTGGAGGAGCTCATCGAAGCCCACCTCTCTAATCAGAGAGTCTGGCTCAGTCACACGAAGCACGGACGAGCTGTCCTACGCAAGATAGGATGGCAGATCGAGCCAGTACCCATCAAGGCGGCCCTTCCAGAGGACTGGAAGACAACAATTGAAACGAAACCTCTTCTCCGGAACATGACGCCGGGCAAGGACGACGAGAGGCGCACCGCGCGGGCCAAAGCCATGGCCCGAAAGCTGGAAGAGAACCCCAGGGTCATGTATGCGGACGCCTCACTCTGAAAACACAGTGACCGTGCTGCGGTAGTGGTTACATCCATTGACAGGCTAATCGTTAACGCGTCCCTGAGGACAAAAGACTCTGCAATTGCAGAGGAAGTGGCTGTGGCCCTCGCACTCGTACAGCCGAGCGTGGACATTGTGGTCACCGACTCAAAGACAGCCTATAGAAGCTTCCGCAAGGGAGTAGTCTCATTTGCGGCACGAGCCATTCTATCCAAATGCAAGCCTTGGGAAGAGCCGTGAAGCTCGTGTGGGTCCCGGCTCACTCGCAGGTAGCAGGCAACACCATTGCTGACTATCATGCCCGAGAAATGGCAATACGGGCCGAGCATGAGTCGGAAGAGCTACCACACCCGGTTACAAACTTTCGGGACATTACCCAGATGTACCGAGAGGGAAGGTGCAGACTACCAGAACCGCACCCCGATCTGACCAGAAAACAACAGACGATATTGCGTCGAGCGCAGGCGGGATCGCTTGCGCATCCCGTACTGCTGAACTGCATGTATCCTGCGGAACACGACATGCTCTGTCCGTTTTGTAAAATAGAAAATGGCACCCTGCCGCACATCTTGGCAGAGTGCACAAAGCTCAAGAACCCCCAACCGTCCCTTCCTCCCGACACCCCGAATCCTCAACCCCTTGAGCGATGGGAGACCTTGTTATCCAGCCCCGCCCTACCGACTCAGCGTGCACTGACGGACAGGGGCCAGGAGCTGCTGGATACATACGGGTCCTGCAACTAGGGAACCGCCCCGTCTGGTGCCTGCGCGCACCACCAACAATGTTGGGCCCAATAAATGTTGATTCATCATCATCTGCAATGTAGTCCTCATCTTGCAACTGACATCATCGTCTGCACTGACGAACTCGTCAAATGTCGATCCGTCGACAGCACCCAGGAACACTTGTAAATGGCCGCTTCAACATCTTCGTACACCGCAGTGCGCACATGTCAGGCGCCACGGGCACCTGGCCTTTTGTCCGACTTGGCCCTGATGTCTGCTTTGTTCTTCAGGATAGTAATCAAGGTGCTTCTAGGAATTTTGTACGCGGCGGCGACGTCGGGGCTTCTTTTCACCGCGCTCGACTCGATTTATGATTTCGAGTTTCGCGGCGAACGACAAATTCTGCCTCCTTGCGCAAGCCATGACGACAGCACGCCAACACAGTTCACAGAGCAACAGGGAACACCACCAGCACAGTCTACATTGGGTGAGGACTCGAGGAAAACAGGCAGCTACAGGCACTCAAGCATAAAGAAAGAAAAAATGGCGCTCACTTCTATCGCCTCCACGCCTCGGAGAAAGCACGACGGCCTCTGATTGGCTGAAGCACTGCGAGCGGGCCAGGATTATTTCTTGCAGGGGGGTGTTCGCCCGTGCACAACCTGGTCTAACCAACTTTTTCCAGGGTGGTGCCGGCAGTTTTCCCCGCCACTGCGAAGGAAAGCCAACTTGCTGGGGCACTTTTGAGGCACATGGAGTTCGATATATCAGTTGTCGTTGCTATTTTCGTTAGATAAAACAGTAACTTTTGCTATATATTCTCAATGTAAGTTTACCTTGTTTAGGAATTGTTCAATATACGGGATAATTTCATATATTAGGGTTCAATATAGTCGGGCTCGACTGTACCATATATCTGTGGTTCCTTTCTGAAGGTAGCCTTGTGTGTTATTCAAGTCAGCGTATCAGCAGTGCTTAATGGGGTTGAGACACCAAATTCTGCATGCAAACACATTTCACACTAAATGTTGGACCCAGCAAATATTTAAAATATATTTTAGCTCATTTCCAAAGTGTTCCCAGATGCTCATACTCGAAATCAAGAACCATCGTTAGCTTGACTGACACCAATATCACTGTGTAGGAAGCCTAACGAAAGTTGTAGTAACATTACAACACACCCGAGTGACATGCATTAAGTGACGAGCTGCTTCACTGCTGCGCTGGGCAAGCCTAGAGAGCAGTGGCAGCGAATGCACATTTGCTTATTTTTCTCATTGTTGCCGAACTAGCCAAGTTTGTTGGCATTTTGCAAAGTGCCTCACTTGGAACGCAAAACTGCGAGGACAACATTAGAATATGTTAGTTTGTATGCACACTTCTTTGAGTTAGCGTCTTGCTGGGTAACTGTAGTCATGAGCACAAGGGGCCATATAAGTGGGAACATGTGGCAGTGAATTGATCCAGGCACACTCAGAATTTTTACTGTAGAAACCTAGTGTACTCTACTTCTCTTCTGGTGAAAATTCTCAGCAGCAGTGCCACTTCTGAGACATCTTGCATTTTTAATCATTATTTCGTCAGAGGCTCTTCAAAAACAAAGAAACATGCCTATAATTGTGGTTGTTTAAAGTGTCACAAGTTATCAATACTGGAATACTGTACTCAGAATTTTTACTGTAGAAACCTAGTGTACTCTACTTTCTCTGGTGAAAATTCTCAGCAGCAGTGCCACTTCTGAGACATCTTGCATTTTTAATCATTATTTCGTCAGGGCTCTTCAAAAACAAAGAAACATGCCTATAATTGTGGTTGTTTAAAGTGTCACAAGTTATCAATACTGGAATACTGTACATGCTATAAATGCAAACATTCCCTATTAGAGAATTTTCGTGAGTGTTATAAGCATCCTTATTATAGAAACAAAGAATGTGCTAGCCACAAGTTCAATGTCTCAACCCCTTTTAAGGTAACAGAAACTATGTTATTGTGTTTAACTTTATTTGTATCATATTTCCCCAATATTTCGTGTCTAGGCTGGTCAGAAACTAACTAGCCCAATAAGCATCAAACTAGTTTTTTCAGGGGCTCTTATATTTACTTTTTACTATAATCTACATAAGTTTACGTCGCAGTTTGAGTTCTCATGATTAATATTTTGTTCTCTCTCTTTTTTTTTTCACTTACAGAACTGAGTTGCATTCATGAAACTGAGGACTATCTTCTGCAGCTGGTGCACGAAATTGGGCTGCACCTTCGTTCATGTGCCATCTGCCATCGTGTACGACTTATACGCTATGGTTTATTTAACACCGATTTAGCATTGCTACGAAAGCACTGGACTTTAGAATACATCTTGAGAAATATTGAAGACTGCCGGCAGCTTGTGGACCAGGAGCTTCTTGAGCCTAAATCACCACATTTTATTGACTTGAATGAAGCTAGCAGGTCATCTTGCAGTGAAACAGATTCTTAGGTCACAATAATAACAGTGAGCTGATGCTGTCCCTGAGCAGTCAGCGTATTTTAGCTTTATTGTTTTTGTAATTAAAACAATATATGATAATTTATGTGCTCTATGTCTGAAGCTTTTCATTAGTTGTGCTAACTTATTTTTCTGAAAGCACAATGGAGTTTTACAGTATTTGCGCACTTTATACGATACAACCTTGTTGTTGTGTTTCGAACACTTTTTTTTAGTTCTGAAGCACTCATTCTATTGCCTCAGCTGGGTTAGGTTTGTTGGTTTCCATCTCTTATTTTCATATTATCATTGGTTATTTCCTGAACCGCTGTAACTCAGAGTAGACTGCTGGGTGAGTTGGTACTGTATGATTGAAAAGAGCTCAAAATAATGTGAGACCAGACCAAGACAGCTGCAGGACCTGTGGTTGTGCAGCACCTACATTGACCTTATGAGGAAAGCCATGGGGAAGTGGAAAAAGCACAGGCTCAGATTGTCCGACATCCTAATATCACTGACACTGTCTCGTGATATTCAGTACCTTGTTTATGAGTGCCATGACCTTCAATCATTGCACAAAGATGTGCATAAACTGAATGCCAAAAGAGTGTCTCGCCGAAGTACTAGACAAACCAGAAAGATCATTGTGTGTGGCCAGCAACTACAATCAACTGTTCCAACAATTTTATGTTTCCATATGACTGCAAGAAATGAATTACAAGCTTTAATACAGTAAACTCTTGTTAATTCAAATTAGAAGGGACCTCTGAATTTTGTTTGAATTATCAAGAAGTTTGACTTATCAGAAGTTCTCAGATAGATGACAGTGGGTGAGGTGACTTCACACATTATGATTAGGCATTGATTTTATCACATTTAAATATTTTTAAGCATTTTAAACCCTAACTGCATCTAAGAAAAAGCAGAGGTCTAAGGTTCACAAGTTTATTGGCCATTTACTGCTGATCAGACCTTTTAAATAAATCATGTACTGCCAACTGCTTCTTTGGTATAGGTATGTGCCTTCAGCACAAAACTAGCATCACGGTTTACCATGCGTGTGCTTTGTTACAGCGAAAGCTGTTACAAGATCAAAACTCGGGTCACGCGCTGCCGTAGTTATCCACCAGTGTCCGTAACCACAACGTACGAAATTAGAAAAAAAACCTAGTACCAATGACACAGTGGGGCTTGAAACTGGGTCAGCTGGGTGCCAGCCGAGTATTCTACCACTGAGTCACGCCAGTGCTTGGGACTTGTTGGCAAACTTGCTTTAGGCAGGCTTGATGTCGGAAAACCAATCGCGTTAATACGACTTATAAAGCGCTTTAAAACAGTGAAAGAACAAGCAGTCTTCGCACAATGCGAATAGCGTAATGAGTGGGTTGTCCAATGCTCCAACCCATTACAAAAGATTGTTCTGGTTTAGCTATTGACTGTGCCGCATACCCACTGCAGGCATAATTCCTCATCGTCGTCAACCACTGCATGAACAACTGGAGAAAAATTCCTTGCAATAGTTTAGCGCAGTGGTTCTCAAATGGGAGCCCGCGGACCATAGGGGTTCGGCAAAGCCATTTATATGATCCGCGAAACCCTCACCCGCATTTTTCTTTAAGCGTGACTGTGCCACGTATTGATGAACTGTCCAAAATGAAGTGATGTGGCACGTTTGTCTGATGTTTTTGGTAGCAATTAAAGGTAGGCTTGTGCGAATATTCGAATGCTTCAAATATTCAAACGAATAATAGAGTATTCAAATTCGCTTCGATTCAAATTTAAATTATTGAAAATTTCGAAGTATTCGCAAAGAACGAATAGGTGTATATTAATTGACATAGAACGAAACGCTTGTAAAGGTAGTTTTGCTGCAGTGTTGGAGTGCTAAGCCATGAAAGCGCCCATCCAGGGAAAATCCGCTTCGCCACAAAGCCCCCCTGCAAATTTAAAGGGGCCCTGCAACAATTTTTGAGCATAGTCAGAAAACGCTCCCGATCGGTAGTCGAGGCTTCCGAGAACACGCAAGCCAAATATTAAAGCGCAGCATGTGTCCTGCGATTCACAGTAAATTCTCAAAGCCAGCTGAAAATTGCTCTCTTCTCTCGGCAAATGACACCACAAGCTCGAAAATCACTCGTCATAGCTATTGCATCAGCCATTGGCCAATTTGAACATGGCGCGCCCGGTCGTCACTGGAGCTGCAGCAGGAGCCCGCGACGTGTCCACATGTGCGGGCGCAATCACACTGAAGAGCAGTGTATTTTAAGAAAAAAAAAAAAGAAAAAGAGGTGCTCGAGGTCACGTGGTGCGTGTGACATATTTTCTTTCGCCGTGCCATTCCTCCCTGCTTAGCTTCTAGCTATTTCGTCGGGATGAGAAGAGAGAATAGAATTGCAGCGTACGACTAATTTTTGGAACTCCGCTGCTCGTACTGGACTGATCCTAAAAATTTTGCGGTGGTAAGTTTGGGAGGCAACAAGCTTTTTTACTGGCTCTATTGCTACTTGAAAAAAGTGTTGCAGAGCCGGTTTAAATGAACATGTTACCCTCAAATCAATTCATCATTTTATATAGCTTAAAAGCTTATTATGAGAGCTTATACGCTTTAAGCATATTAAAATTTAAAATGTTACCTATTTTACAGGTTATCACTTGCATCCTACCGAACTCGTATCCCGCTACTACTCAAAGTACTTTCAACTTCCTGTGAATGAAAAAAAAAAGACATTTGCATAGAGGTCTTATTTCAAAACAAAAATATATTGTGCTGGTTAGTTAGGTCATGATAAATATGCCCATTTATCTTTAGATGGATTTGTGGGGTGTAACGTCCCAAAACCACCGTATGATTATGAGAGACGCCGTAGTGGAGGGCTCCGGAAATTTCGACCACCAGGGGTTCTTGAACGTGCACCCAAATCTGAGCACACGGGCCTACAGCCCATTTTTTTGTTCTTTGTATTGTGGGGTCTCGACGTGGTGAGCGAGCACCACGCCACGCTCTTGGAGTGAACAGACACAGAAGACGCGGTCGGTACAAACCAAATAACATACATACATTTATTGAACTAATTTACAACGACAATATCGTCCGCCGAATCGATACATCAATCGTGATCAACCCACTAATACATCCTTACACACAATTTCCATACACTCCAAAACATGACAAACAGACATTAACATACCCAAAGCGGCATCGCCAACGCTTGACTTACCACGTGGGCCTACCGCAAGTGGCCCGCGGTGCCGTCCACGGCAGACCCAGCGCGAGAGACAAACGTTCGCGGAAGCCGCCACGCGCAGAAGAGGCTCGCTTAACTCTCGCCTGCCACCAAGGCCTGCCTTCCGCCAGGGGTCATTGCCGGCGCTACTACTCTACCAACAGTGGTACTCAATGCGAACACAACGCCATCTATCGCCCGGCGGTCGTCACCCAAATGCGGCCTTGGGGCGAGACACGTGCGCCACACGGCGCAGACACCCCCACATTCCCCCAACCTTAAATGAAACCATATCCCGAAATCAAAATTATAAGCTACACAAGCTTTAACAAAAAAAATGACAGATGTCCATAATGTCCTTGCACCACGACACCGCCGCCGGGCGACTGTGCTGCACTGTCCGGCTCGACTTCACCTCAGTATCAGTCTCACAACAACATCGTTGCCGTCGACGCGGTGATCCGTCACTCGTGCCGACACGTTTTTCCGTTGCGACCAGCACTCACGAGGGCCCCGGACTGCAGGCAGTTGCGCAGGTCCCAGGCATCTCCATCGCCCGACCTCACGACCGCATTCCTGGCCAGTGACGCTGACGATGTGCACAAGACAGCCGGCCGTGGATGACATCCCTCCCGCTGAATACATCAACAACAACAACAAAAAAACCCGAAAGAAACGATAGAGCAGGGCCTAGGGAAGGGAGCTTCGGGCTTTTCGGCCACGTGGTACGATGGTCAGTACTGCTAGCTAATACATCGGCGGCGGCCGAGACGCCCATCAAAATAAAACAAAAATCACTTTTCCTAACTCGTGCATCGCAAGATAAAAAATAGTGAGGGAAGCAGAGCGCAACACCTCAACGCCACAATCCACCTAGTTGTGCCACATGCGACAGGCGGCTGCGCAGAGCCTTAGGCCTAATGAGTCGCTCGGCAACAACCAGCATCCACCCAGCCTAGGCGCAGAAGAGGCAGCCGCGAGGAGACGTCCACTCTGTGAGAGATGGCCCTATCGCTCGCCGCACACAGCAGCTTACCGAGCGATCGGCGTCCACCGTCTCGGGCGGTGTCACGACACCCCGGCGTCGAGCCGCAATACAAGTCAGCAACGACGCCCGGCTCCCAGAGCCCAAAGAGAGAGAAGCTATTTACAGAAAATCGGACCACCCACGAGGCTTCCGTACTCACTCGCTTCGGGCCTGGCCTACAAACCACGTGCTCTAGGCCTTGCTCACCCCAGGATGCAGACCGCATGGCTTTCGTCCCAATTCAACAACGCTTTTGAAAACTAACAACAAAAAACAACAACACTTGCGAGCAAAAAATAAATAAATAGAAAGTCAACCTGCCGACAAATTCAAACATGTTACAAAACCAATCTCCTCGCTTCTCAACAAAGCACACCACCGACGCTAGCAAAGAAGTCCCCCTAGGCCTACTCTACGTTCGCTCTAAGAAAAGCTTCTACCGAACCGTTAAACTGTCGTCCGATACTCCAAGAGCCCCACGTTGGGCGCCAGTGTGGGGTCTCGACGTGGCAAGCGAGCACCATGCCACGCTCTTGGAGTGAACGGACACAGAAAACGCGGTCGGTACAAACCAAATAACATACATACATTTATTTAACTAATTTACAATGACGATATCGTCCGCCGAATCAATACATCGATCGTGATCAACCCACTAATACATCCTTACACACAATTTCCATAAACTCCAAAACATGACAAACACAATAACAGGACAAACAGACATTAACATACCCAAATCGGCGTCGCCAACGCTTGTCTTACCACGTGGGCCTACCGCAGGCGGCCCGCAGTGCCGTCCACGGCAGACCCACTGCGAGAGACAACGGTTTGCGGCAGCCGCCACGCGCAGAACAG